TACTTATTATCGCTTACGTCTAAAGATCAGTCCTGCCTCGAAAGCTTTTATTCTATCTATATTTATTCTTTTATTCTAGCTTTATTTTATTCTATTGTTTGATAGTTTCGAAAAATATGATGGTTTAATGCTTTGAAATAATAGTTGTTAAGAAGGCGAGATGCTAGTGCAATTGCATTCGAAGGTAGTTTCTCTTGAATTTTTTTTTCACTGAACAATAATAATGATAACTAATTCAATTACATTTGTACGCTTAATCCCAGTTATAACTGTAATACAACAATATACGATCAATAATACATCTCTATTTTCATTTGATTCGTTATAAATCTCCTTTATATTGCCTCTTTTCTTAATTTCATCTTATCTTAAGACCTCATTTACGATGTGTCAACTCAGTTATATGGATTATGAATATTTTGTATGATACTTATAATCTTTTCCGTTCAAATTCATTAACCCATTGATTTTAGCTTCGTAAATCTAACATTTTTGGAGTGTATATTCCATTGACATTTTGCTTGTGTTTTGGTTTATTCTGATCTATGATATCCGCATATTACCGATAATCCATTATCTGCTATATGTATAATGTTTCATGATCTGCATAGTCTTACTGCCGTAATTTGGTACTGAAGATAGTCTCTTCGGATTTATTCACATGAATATTTCATGGCTAATCCGTATTGTTAGGTTCAATTTGCATGTGTGTTCGTTAGGAGTCCGCAGTGTTAGGTTCAATTGTGATATTGTATATAGTGAAAGAATGTACTAAAACGAATTTTTTTGTATTTGTAATATTTAGTATGTATCTAATTTTGATGTAAAATAAATTTGCAGTTATCGAAATTTTTGTTCAGTACATTTTACAAATTACTTATTCGACATATGCATGTGCATGCAAGCATATAAGCACTACCATACAGTTACGGTTTGGTTTGTGTTGCACTTCTGTAGTGAATCCACAATATTGAGTGTGGAAATTTTTAAGAAATTGAATAACTTGATGGATTAAAAGTATAAAATCCAGTTCATGATCAGCATTTCTTAGCATTTGATGTAATGCAGAGCAAATCCATCGAGTACAAGACCAAGCCTGCAAGAGAAATATATAATTTGTTGAATGGTCAGTAATCATGAGTGGTCATTAATTGAGTTATCATTTTTGAAACCAAAGAAAATCCGATTTCTACGTCGAAAAAAAACTCGACTGTGTCAGCATCCGACGTATACGATTATTCCACGTTCGGATGAATCAAGTTCTTTGGATGGAGCGAGATCATTGTATCGCTCATTACCNAAGCAGCACTTCATAAGATGAGAATAACCTTCAGACTGAAGACCTCAGAAGACATGACAATGAAATGGGATGCTGTGGTGTTGACTGCTTGTGATCTGAATCAAAAGGAGGCTTTTGAAAATCAACTCGCTGATCTAAGCGATCAACTGAATCAGTTTGCTGAGCGATTTTTCGTTTTCGAAGATCAACCGTCAAATATTCGAATTGGTTACGCATTATTTTCACTGTTTATCCATTATTTGCTATCAGCACCACTATTATCATTAATAATCAAATTCTTTGAAATCATAACACCCACAACTCATGCCAACACATTCCATTGGATAGCAAAATCTAACTTCAGGATCCGGTGGGGCGACACAGTTGGCGTTGGATAGACTCAACAGCGAATTAACCGAATCCAAATTCATCCAGTCTCGTATTGTCATCATACATTCTGGTGGTCTAAGTCAACGTATGCCGAGTGCATCTGCACTGGGCAAAGTATTTCTGGTATTTCCCAATGGAAAAACCTTTATCGAAATGAAACTCCTTTCTTATCGGTCGGTTCCACTGAAATTTGGTCAATCAAATATTCCTCTCTTCTTTCTGATATTCCACTTTACAATTCTGTTGAATTTACGTTTTTTT